CGGTGAACAAGAAGCAGTTTTCGCCATAAAAGACGTACGTGAAGAAATATGTCTTTAATAAGAGAGGAAAAAAAATTAACCTCGTTGCTATACGTTGGAGAACTAACAACATTTAATTTCGTGAAATTATTGTTTGAACAAGATATCAGTTCTTAATGATACAGAACATGGATTACATTTTTCTTGTTGACCTAAGAAAGTCGCCCATCTTGTTTTTGGGGTGGGTGCATTGCGGTGGTCCTTATCTGTTTTAAAACGAGCATAGTGTTTTGGAGCCGCGTGTATGGACACTGTGCCCAAGCTGTTAGTGTTACCGAACAAACCTGTTTTATGTGTGGCACGTGCTTTGAAAAATGATGTCACAAATCACATTCTTCGTGCACACCAGTACACGCGTTTTTCTTTATTTTTTTGCTACTTAGAGGGGCCTTGGCTTTGGTGACCCGGATAAATGAGTTGTCTTTCCCCTCCGAAAGAACTCGACGTCTGTTACTTGAGGGTACATAATGTAAGTACAACTTGTTTCTTACAGTCACTCATCATTTAGTTCCACACATAGACGTTTTGTAAATGTTCGTTTCTTTGTAGTTATGTAAATTCTGTTAAAAGTGCTTTTTGTAGTTCTTTGGTCAGTACTTTGACATGTTGATACAGTTCGAATGTCGTTCTGTTTTAGTGTTTTTCACCAAATATGTTAATCGTTACTTACTAACTGTGGTGTAACTTACATTTCAAGTAACCATAAGATGTTAGCTAGTAGTAGTAACCATGCAGATTATGTATTTTAAACTTTTTTACACTAATTTTAACAACTTGTGTTCTAATATGTCAACTACACTAAGCCTGCCATATCCGGAAAACCATTTGAAGTTTCATAAATATTGACAGTTATTAATAAATATTAGCTAAACTATTTCAAGTTTGACAAACATCGACTGTTATTAGCTAAACTATTTCAAGGTTGACAAACATCGACTGTTATTAACTAAACTATTTCAAGTTTGACAAACATCGACTGTTATAAGGTAAACTATTTCAAGTTTGACAAACATCGACTGTTATTAGCTAAACTATTTCAAGTTTGACAAACATCGACTGTTATTAGCTAAACTATTTCAAGGTTGACAAACATCGACTGTTATTAGCTAAACTATTTCAAGTTTGACAAACATCGACTGTTATTAGTTAAACTATTTCAAGTTTGACAAACATCGACTGTTATTAGCTAAACTATTTCAAGTTTGACAAACATCGACTGTTATTAGCTAAACTATTTCAAGGTTGACAAACATCGACTGTTATTAGCTAAACTATTTCAAGTTTGACAAACATCGACTGTTATTAGTTAAACTATTTCAAGTTTGACAAACATCGACTGTTATTAGTTAAACTATTTCAAGTTTGCCAAACATCGACTGTTATTAGTGCCTAGACGATGGATTTCAATTTTTATATAGTGACGGTCGATCAAGCACGAACATAAGAAGACGTACTGATCATGTTGCCTGTATAAGCTACACCTCCTTGAAAGACCACAAGATCAGCATCAAACAAGTTCCTAGAACCAGTCAAGCGAAGCCGTGTGATCCATTCTGTAGCGGTCCTCCAGAACTCGGCTGGTGGACAGTTGAAACGCAGTTACCTTGACTTTATATGAGCAGTTAAAAAGACAGGGTTCTAAAGGATTTCCTTCTGGCAGTAATAAAACATTGTTTAGAATAGCTTTAGAACCCTGTCTGGTTTCCTTCTGACAGTAATAAAACATAAAATTTCTTGATATATATTTCATAACGACCATACGATCTTCAGGAATATTTGCGTCACGTTTCCATGGCAACTGGGGACACGTCCTTGCCGTGACATTTTCGTAACCAAAGTGAAAATAAATAGGCGTATGAATGTATGGAACTGTATAAATCTGCTTAAGGATCGTTATACTGGTTAATTAACCGGCTAAGTCAAGTATTCCATTAATGATTTAACCGTTCTTCATCACTACATACTGGGACTTGAGATAATGACGAGCATGCGTAGTCCCATAGAACAGTTATTTCAGATTCACCAAGCCCTTTTTGAATGATTTACTAAAATAATAATAATTGCGTTTATAGATTTAGTATTAGCTGATGTATATTCATTCAACACCAGGGGAGGTCAAATCTAAACGACGACCCTACGTGTGAACTGTAAGAGCGTACGTGGTTTGGTGAGAATCGGTCCAGCGGTTCACTAATTACAAGCGGAGACAATGCACGGGGAATACATACGGGCTTCCGGTGGACGACATAGGGGGGGGGGGTGTCGTACCTCCAAAAATCGACCATCTGTGTCAATTCCCAGGGACCCTAAGGGCGCATGCCTGGTTTGGTTGTAAAATAATGGTTTAGATAAATGAAAACTTTGTTATAGAAGGGTTCCACACCTGCCTTGAATTGCTTGATTTTCTTTTAATTCTTGAAAATCCTCAATCCTGGCATATAAAACCAAGCAATCTAGTAATAGTAAACACTGATTTTTGTTAACACTTCTTTTGGCTATTTCTCGTTAGGGCACTCGAGTCGTAATCTGAATGTTACGGGTTCGAGTCCCGTCCCCGAACATGCCCTTTCAGCAGTGGGAGCGTTATAATACTACGATCAATCCCACTGTTCTTTGGTAAAGAGTAGCTCAAAAGTTGGCGATGGGTGGTGTTGACTAGCTGCCTTCCCTGTAGTCTGTTAATTCCTGCGCAGATATCCCTGGAGTAGCTTTGCACGAAATTCAATAGCAAATATACAAATCATAAATAAGTATACTACACAGAAACAGTTCCATATAGCATAATGACTTTTTGAAATTAACCGACCAGTGACCTACCTTTGTTTTAAACATACGTATGTGTGCGAAAGTGGTGAATTTTAGATAGTTCGACACTAAAAATATGGTGTCTCTATTAATCTTTCTTCCTTGGCTTTTGTTCCAAAGTTATCATAAAAAAACGGGATGTTTTTGTTCGTATGTCAGGACGTCAATCTTATCAGAACACTCCTCTAACTAATTCTTAAAATATTGCCAGTGTTTCGTTGAAAATGTCGTTTTGTAAATAACATATCGTGTCGCCATCTCGTGACAACTTATAGAACCAAAATTTTTAATCTCCCTCCTCATTGTTTGTTATTTTGGTGCGTTAAAGTTTCCAAAGTTTTCACTTTCCACCCCACCCCGTTCGGTGCTTAGAATTAATTTTCAACGTGACACTAATTTTAGTTTAATCAACTATCTTTTTATACTTTTTTGGAAAAATAAGACATATTTTAGGTGATATTTTGCGATATTCATAATTTTTTATTCTGATAAATAAAAAAAACAATTTTACTGTCTTCAGTTATTACATTGCGTTGAGACAATCAACCCACTGAGTGTTATTATTAGTGTATGTATTGTTTCAACACTGTTGTGTAATGGGGGGAGGGGTGTCCACACACCATCGTTTTTTTTAAGGGAAGTTTTTCTAACTTATTTATACAATAAAGTCCTTGTACGTCCATGACTTTGTCGGTTACAGACCCCTAAAATCATACGAACCACACAGAGAGATACAAAAAATTATATCAATATTGAAGTTAATTATATTAATTACCACTGTGCATTTTACATATTAAGAAAGGAAACGTATTGTGAAAGTACAGGGTGTCCCAGAAGTCTGGACCCATAGGGAAAATAGACATCATATACTTAAAGTTAAACAAATACAATTATAATGTCAGTTGTACATATTTCAGGAAAGAAAACACCCTGATGTAACAGTATACCAAGAACTGGTGTGTGTGTGGCAGATGGTCTTTATTATAACACGTAACACGTCATCAATTATTATCATCTATGTTCCTCATCTAGTAACTTGAAGTGGTTTAATACTGCAGCAACCCTACCCGAGGACACCATTCCATCAAAACTGATAGCATTGTTATACTAGAATGATCTGTTGAATTTGTGAAATGCAGTCATCCTTGAGTTACTATCCGACTACACAGTTACGAGTTTGTCCTGTTCTTCTTACAACGTGGACTAGAACAGTTTCCCCCTATGTTTTATAAATATCGTTCTTATTGTACGCACCGTTTGAAAATTGGGCCAATGAATAAGAACAAATATATTCTTGTCATTTGGCCGGACTCTAGAAGGTTCTGTAAATACGTGCACGTTACGTTTACTTTGGTAAATATCTTATAACCTCTTGTGTAACCGGAAACACGATTTGAATATTCATCAACAGGCTCTGTCATGCACGATCTGTATGTTTACTTCGTGCTATGGGAAGGTAGATTCAAACAAAGACGTCATAGATAGAATTAACTACATTTGATACGTTAAGATTTATAAGTTTGAGATCGTGTTTTAGGGTGTGATGAGTTGATAGACTTATAAATAAGGTTATTATAATATCGTTAAATATTTTTGAAGGACAGTTTATTTCCTAAGTGTGTGTGTGTGTATTAGCTGTATGATGACGATAATGAAACGTGCAGCTAACGCAAATATCTAACATCATAACATTTCCCGCCAAAAGGAAATTAGACCACCTTGTCTGTGTATCCCTCTCGTAGGTTTATATAAATTCTCCTTCTTCCTTCTCATATGTGGTTGCTGCAGCAATGATGTGCGCACTAAACAGGCGTGGCAATATGACGTCAGAAACCACCGGACTGACGACGACGAGCTCTGCGGCAGTTAGATGTAATACGTTCCGGGCGTTGGATGGTTGAGGGATGAAGCGAATCGTTCTTTAGTTTGCGTATCGGAAGCCTTTTTTATCCTATGTTTTTTACGTAAGTTTTCTGTTATTTTGCCGAAAACCTCATTCTGGTCGATGAACTAGTTTTAATCAGTTTAGCTGCGTGAACGTCGACGATAAATCAGGATTTTGTAGCCCGTCGTTGAGTTAGTTTTGTATCGGAAGATGAAAACATAGCTGTATTGATTACTCACAATTATTCTTTAAATGACTGATTCTTGGAGAAAGTAGAACACCGAGCTGACGTGGAATATTCGAGTGTTTACTTCTCTCGTAGGTGTTCCAGTTTGGAACTGTTAAGGTTTGTAGTGACCTACTCAGAAGCTACGTCTACGTTCAATTATTAGGTGGCTGGAGCGCGAGGATGGTTTTGAGCGACAACAATATAATGGAAGCTAAGTAGGTAGTTATTTTATCTAACCGTTTACTTCCATAATCAACATATAAACATTGCATGTCAGAAAAATAACAAGGTTTCCTTGCTTCGTTTTTTAGCGTGAACAACTTAGCCTGCTGTCTAACTTTATTAAGTATTTAATTATTTTCCCCAGTCAGTAGTTTCGCCATAAATTGACGTTGTTCACCGTTGTCGCCTCGGTGTATTTTTAATAGGATAACATGTTAACGTTGTAGGTTTTTGCTGACGTTGTTGATTCAGTCTCTTCGTTAAAAAACAAAGAAAAAAAGTAACAGGTTTAAGATAACGTTTGTTTTAAATTCTTGTCTTGCTCGGTTTTTAATGAATTAACAATTTTAACCAATTGGTATTTGACATTTAGTATTTTGTATCAATTTTTTTTTTAAAACTAAATGTTACATAGTGCTCTCTATATTTATCTAACGGTGATGTTGGTGTAACATTTTATGTGATAATTTAAAAATCATTATATATCTGTTATGAAAAAAGAAACGAACAGCGTCTCTATTAATAGCTTCAAACTTGTGTATTTGAGAATGTTCACACGTGTTATAAAAAATTATCTTCCTTAGTCTAAAGGCTGTAACTTGTAATAAAATAAACACTTGTTAATTAGTTGTTTGAAGTTCTAGATAAAGATTGTTAGATGACAGGTTTTAGTGTCTTGAATACAGTTTATCTAAAAAGAAACAGAAGGAAAAATTGTGACATGCCACCACCAGTCGGTAAATATACAAAATGTGACCATACCTAAGAAGATAAATACATACATAAACGTTACAAATGAACGCTTCGGTAGAGTTGAGGGGGGCAAAGTTAATCGTTGAGATACTGGGCTGGATCTGGTCGTGGTGTCCTGCGCATGGATGATTTGGTAAAGGGTATTCGTTTATAAGCCAGCATTATGCCGTATATTGTACGTACGGTATGAAAGGTTTTTATTAATACATGAAAATATTAACTAAGATATATATATATATATATATATATATACTACT